ACATGCATCATATATCCACATATTCATCCTCTTTTTATGTTGCTAATATTCAAACAAAAACAAGATGCAAGTTTCTACAAAATGATGAACAACAAACTGTTGCCCCTCAGTGATAGCCTATCATCATTTCTACCAAAATAGAGCTGGATTCCTTCCCCATGACACATCTATTATTTGCTTAATTAACAACTAATGAATAAGTAGCCTTTGGGTATTAATAAAAACCATAGTTATGCATTTCAGGGGGACAGTTTCGGTGTCCGGCAGTGCAAAGCTTTGTTTGGTCACTTGCTAAGTGGACATATCCTAGGAGATAAGACATTAATGATGGTCTCCATCATCAGTTCATGAACGACTCTTAAATAATAAAACCTCCCACATACCACAGTGATATGTCACAAGTGTTGCACATCAAGTGACAAAAAGTGAATGAGAGGTTATAATGCCAAACAAAAAATGACAGAGTGTTTTACTTACGAATTTTGAGGTACTGATGGTAATGTTCGTTGACTTTTAAAGTACTAGCAAGTGATAATATATTCCCCATTTATTTTATTCTTTTATATGTTGCATTCTTTTGCTTTTGGGAGGTTAGGTTTATGCCACCTTTCCTTTTGTTCTCGTGAATTTGATTTTATATACGGTCGGGGCACCCTAACCACAATGGGCCTTCCTTGGTGGAGTCTGAAAACCTACTGAGGCTGTATTGATGTTTTGCTTAAAAAAATTTAATAATATATTCTCAAAACCAATAATAATTAGAAATTTACATACCACTTATAGTATCAAAACTTGTGTCAACAAAACCTTCTTGTGCAGAACGAAATTCAAGAAGCTTGTCTGCGACGTCTACCTCAGTCAAAACTACGCCATTGCTAATTTCATCCTCCAGCCAAGCCCAGAAGTGTGCTAGAGCAGCTGCATCCCTGCATAAGACAAATCCATGCATAAATATTCCCCCCAAAAAGAGGCAGCTATTATACATTTTCAAATGTAAAAAGAAAAAAACTCAAATTCACAGTTAAAAAATATCTATCAAGTTAATCAACTAAAAGAGATGGAAAAGATAAAAGATGAAAATATCAAAAACTCAAAACTATAACTGTCTTATTAGTCATATTAAATCTAAGGTAACCTACAAATGCTTTTCCAAGAACATGATATCGAAGAGGTATTTTCTTATGCTCCGTGAACATTCTTAACCAACTAAGAAAACATAATTGTTTATATATAAACCTGTAAATGTAGTAAAAACCATAGCAAAATTGTTATCTTACTGGAAATTTCATACAAACGAATTGAACTATTTATTTCAAAGTGAGTACACATGAAGCAGATAAGAAATAAAGGAACATAAATGCAGAATATGATTCGAACTTTGATGTAAGATAATTTATTCGTTTATGAATGATCACTCAAGCTTAATCAGTCTTGGAAATCCAAAATATTCCTAGGGTGTTTATATCAGCAACTTAATCTAATGTATAATCTCATAAGATTCTATCTCTTTCTCTACATTTGTGTGTGCATGTATAATGCGCATTAGATGTTTTGACTATTAGCAAAGGCATCCAGCAGCTAATTTGTTCCTTCACACCCTTTCTACCTTGATAATTTATTGCTCATTTTGAATATAATTCTGTGTTCTAATCATAGAGGTTTTTATAAAAACAGACCACATATGCTGCCATCAACCATTTCTAAGACCATTCCTCAAAAAAGAAAAAAACATTTCTAAAACCACTGATTTACATTTGCAAAACATGTACATGCAGTGGATTTTTTGCTGCTCAGGGTTAGTTATGGTTCATTTACAATGTTATATTTCTAACAATTAATATTATAAAGTGATTAGTATTATTATTACATTGATTTACTTGCATTGCAATCATCAAAACTTATCAACGCTATATTTGCTCAGTTTTATTAGTTTCCCATTGAATTTTATGCTGTAAGAATTTGTAGATTTTGATTTTATTCATTTACATAATTATTAACACAGAAAAGAAAATCAAGTTTAAATGACAAGTGGCAAACATGGTTCCATATATAACTGCTACATTATATATTTATATTGATGCTTTACATAAATCACTTTAAGTTCAAAAAGAGTATTGTCACTTTAATATGATAACCTGTTGTGACATAAAACGTCAACAAACAAATGGATTAAACTAAAGGCACATCCACAGTAAGCTGAGGTGAAATCCTGCTACATGTTATAAATCTTTGAGTCTTTTATTTTCTTCCAATGGTCTTGTCTTGTTAGACGTCCCATGTACTTTAGCATGTCCTTTACTCAACGTTGCAGTGAAAAGATAACATAATATGTAGCTAATTTTACATGAACTCATACATCAAAGTTAGTAAAAGTTCTCTTTTCATTAAATTAACTCGTAGTAATACATTCATATTTGATGACAATCAACATATTGTCATATTTTGATGCAATTTGTCTTCTCGTTCTTGTATGGTAATTCTTTGTAATGAATATTCCACTAAACAAACTTACTGTCAAATTATTCAAATTTCTTGTTTTCAAAGGTTTGGCACATTAAAATATTTCATTTTTTTAAATAATAGTTCCTATATAGGAATAACTTGACGTAAAATTTTTTAGAGACTCAACGAAAAGATTCTTTTGACATTCCAATGTGATGACTAAGATATACTAATATTCAATATAAACATTCACAAGAAGTAAAAACTTTAAATGTGAAAATATTTCTGTGGTTAACTGTCACACCAATAAAAGAACAAGTTGCCGCTTAATTTATTTGAGGCTAGTGTGCAAAGAACTACTATTTTACAAGTGGCCATCTATGTAGAGACTCCAAAATCAGGTTGTATGAACAAATATGGTTCACTTAGGCCTTACACCAGGACTTATTTATCAACTAGGATAGACTAGAAGATTTGTAGAGATTAACATTGCCGTTCAAACTGAAATGGAGGGAGTAGTTAGTAAACCCAAGATTCCATGATGGAAATATATATCAACACTCAACTGCAAATTTTATTTGAAATAAAGGGGTTGAATGAAGCACGATTAACCTTTTTGTACATTTCTAGATGAGTAACTTCTTTAAACCCAAGATTCCATGACGGAAATTTATATCAACACTCAACTGCAAATTTTATTTGAAATGAAGGGGTTGAATGAAGCACGATTACCCTTCTTGTACATTTCTAGTCGACCAACTTCTTTAAAACATAACCTTGCCTGATATAAGAAGGAACTAGAAGCATGCCAAAGATATCTAAACACATGGAAACATAAAGCAATTTGCACGTGAAGAGCTCTACCGTGCACATTCTCCTTTAACAGAATATAGAAATAAGCATAAAATAAGTAATAAAATTGAAACCAAATAAATTTCACAAAAGTCTCAAATTTAGATGGTAGCTTCAACATCAGATAGTGCAATAGCATAAATGCAAAGAATAATCTAGTTTATTTTGTCATACATATAATTGCATATTTTTTCTCTGAAGCAGTAAAACTAGTCACATCTATTTCTAAAAGAAATTTTATATTCCAATTACCTTAGATGAGAATTACACATCCCTTGTAGTTCTGCCTCATTCTTTACAGCCTTAGCCAGACAAACAGGTGAGCTCTTATTTAATGCAGAGGGTTCCCACGGTTCACCATTCATTGTCCTCTTGTTTTTGTTTATTAAACTTGCAATACCGCCCGCGAACTTATTGCAGGCAGATTTATAAGTATTCACGATAGCAGCACTAACAGATGATGTGTCCAACCACAGGCATGCCCCTTTAGCAGCCAAACTGCAAGAAAAATACGGTTTAATACAGTAACCAGACCGAAAGGTTTGAAATCTAGTCCAGTTATATATTTTTTAAAAAAAGAAATTTAAAACCTATAAATGGCCGGTTTTACAGTAACATTTTTTTAAAAAAGAAGAAGATTTATTCAACTTTTTTTACAGCTGGTTCGATCCTTGACTCTTTACTGGTCAATGCCCGGGCCAATTTTTAAGACCCTGGTAAAACCTATAGAATACTCAGACGTTCTACAACTTGCTGCTGCTGAAGTAAACAGAGTAACTTAGTGCTAAGTTCACCTTTCAATTTCAGAGAGAATCGATTCATATGGTCTCAACTCTATTCTTGCATTCTTCAAATGAGTCGTCACTTCTGGGGTAATTTTGGCATCATCAATAAATAACTTAGATCCATCAGTTTCCACGATTAAGTAAGCATACATGACCGGTGAATGTGGCACATCGTTACCTCTCTATCAAGAGAAAAAATATTGCATTAACTTTTAACAGCATATACTGGGAACCAGAAACAAATATTTAATGAGACCAATGTATAACTTCTTGACAACTCAAGAAACAAGGAAAAACCAAAAGCACCCAAAATTCCATGAAGAGGAAGATCCAGGTTAAATCCTTAACAGACCATTGCATCATTGCAATGAAAAGTAACACAGAAAGAATCACAGCATTACTATAAAAGCTTATATGCAAAGGTGATACTTGACAGCTGGCCTTATGCTCACAGAGCCCTGCCAAGAAGGATAGAGAATGTTGAGGTAAAGACAACTATACAAAAGAAAAATCTTCAAATATTACAAGTCTCTGTCCCCTTGATTCTAGAAGAAGTATTTATTCTCAAGTAAACGTGTCATTCCCAGTTCCAGGTTATTAATTAACCATCATAATAATTGGTTGACTTCAAATTATTTATGATCATTCATTTTGATGACCACAAAACACCATTTCATTCCACGTCATTCTTTTTCTTCTTTTTTCTTGGAGGGGGTAAACGAACTCATTTCACAATTTATACGAATAAAATTTTGAGCTATCTTCAAGAAATAGGATAGAGACCTACCAAGTTCAATAGCCACGCAATCTCATCCAACATCGAGATAACAATCGCAGATGAACCGGCATCAGTTAATTCAGACCTCAAGGAAGACAGCTTGGATGACACATCTACACCAGCGTATTTTAGGTCATGCACTCTGATAGGTTTGTTGGGAGGCTTCGGCCTGGCTTCTTTCCATATTTCATCCACAAGATTAATATCATACAAGTAGACCAATTCATGATTCTTTTTAGATATGGCCTCTTTCAGTTCTTCTGAGGCATCGAAAGAAAAAAGAAACTGTTCCCTTCGCATAAAAAACAAAGAGAGGGTTATGATCAAATGGAGGAAATTGAAGATTGCAGATACACATGGACAGGAGTCACAAGGAAAATAGCGAACAACAAGAAAAAATAAAACAGGAAAAAAGGACATAAACAAAAAGCATCTGCTCATAAACACATTTTGTTCAGAACCAGGAGAACGATATTTTGCTTGAAATTACAAACATATCAAATCAAATAATAAAAAGATATGGAATGCACTGATAGGAAGGAAATAAACATAAGAAATCTTTCAAAAGAAGGCCAAAATTCTAATCAGAAAATAAACAAAGCCCAACAAACGCATAAAGAATTTCACCATTTGACTTACTGCTATTTCATGAATGAAACAGAACGTCACCTTTGACTTTTGGGTTAAATATGATCTTCCAATGCGGAATTTCTTCTTAATTCATTTAATTTTTCAGATGGAAGCTCATATAGTGAAACAGGTCAAATCAGACTTTTGAGAACATTTTTGGACTTGAAAGGTAAAAAAATTGTACATAGCATGCGTTCAGAAATCTGTATGTTTACTGAAAAAGGTAAGAGGGATCACTTAATTGTGTAAGGATATCTATGTAAATCATTAACTGTCCCAATGCATAATCCATTCTAGTCCAGCTGGTTAAAATTTCGATGAAAGTCAATCAGGAAGAGGACATGATCCTCATACAACCCAATTCATTAGACAATAAAATCCATTCATTCCAACATGGAAACTGTCAATTCAATCTATGTATGACAAATTCCCATGGGACCCAGAAGTTTACCAGTATTATGTACGTGTCAAAGGATGCAATGCTTGAACAATTTAGCCATTATCAGGAGAGTTGTGATTTCATCTAAAATATTAGAATGTATGAAGTTGAAAATATTATTTCTTGAGACACACTGAAAACTTAGAATATTACTCACAGGATCAATGCCAATTCTGGAACCAGGAGTTAAGACACCATTAAGCCACTCACTTGTGGTAGGCACTCCCAAATTACCTGCTCGCATGAGAATCCAACTGGAGTTCAACTGCTGTTCTGCCTTTTAGCAACAAGAAAAGCACTTCAATAAGAACCACAGCAAATCCCAGCAAAAATTACCAACAAGTAATCATATTACAATATCGAAGTCAAGGGGATAAAACTAACTGTATCCACAATTCAGACCTGGAGAAAGTACCGACCATCTGTCCAAAGAGCAGCTTTATCTTTTGTGATAACAGCAGTGCCAGCACTACCAGTAAAACCTGATATATATTCTCTCCTTGCATAACAATCAGCAATAAATTCACTCTGAAAATCAAAGGAAATCCCTCTGAGAAATTACCATAGAAACCGGGTGCTTTTATGTCATGCTTAAAGCAAAATTCTGGTAAACAATCTCTACAAAATTGTAGAAGTACCATTTTTACTAAGAAACTAAAAGTTGTTATTACAATGAAAATATGAAAAAACGGAATGAGAAATAAGGGACATGTGCGTATACATTATAATTGAAATAGCAGAAAACTCTTCCAATCATTATTCCATCTCTTTATACAATTGAAACTACATGCAAGCTTGCTGAAGAAAATGTCCCCAAGAGTTCATGTACGAAGGAATAATCATGAAATTCCCCCACCCACGCCCCTTTCCCCAAAAGCGATAGAAAAACAATACACAGATGATATTAACAAATAAATGCAAAATAAGGCAATGGATCAATAATTTACAACTGAAAATCATTGGTCTACGCTAAAAAAATAAATGATGTTCAAATTCAAAAAGATGCAGAATAAATTTCCCATACACAAATTGAATTCACAATAACCAGAAATGCATTTTTTAAGCAACAACCAACAAACCGGGGGCATGGAGGTAGAAGAAATCACAAAAATGAATCTAACCAACCTGATGGGCGTCTTGTGAAGGGATTATGTAAGCATCGATATTGATATTGGGCCTTGAGAAGAGTTCTCGGATGCGTCTAAGCTTGTCATCGGGTTCAGAGTTTTTGCGCTTATTCCGAAGCTCGGACGACGGTTTGGCTGTTATGGAGCCCGAATTGGGGATGGAAAAGGAGTGTCGAGCGATGAGGGTGGTGGGTTGGCGAAAGCGTGGTGTAGTGGGAAAATTGGGGATGGGACTAAAATTATGAAGAAATGGGGAAGAAATAGAGAGGAAGCGAAAGCGGGTTTGAGAATGCAGTTGAAAATGAGACCGGAAAATCATGGCGGGGGCGGATAGAAATGCTTCACCACCTGCGGCTCAGCTGCTGCTTCCAATACAGAAGGAAGTGTGTGTGTGTGTGTGTGTGTGTGTACAGATAAGGCCTTTGGCTTGGCGTAAAAGCGGAGATTGCTTGCTACGGCAGCCAAAAAAATTCCATTTTCACAGGTGGTCACTAAAGTTTAAGAAAGAGTTCAAGTTAATCCTTACAAGTATTTTTCTAACTTATTTAGTCATGAAAGTTATTTAGCTCATATTTTAGCTCCATTTGATCCCATTAAAATTATAATCAATTTTTCTCTCTATTCTTATCAACCACACATTCTGTAATAAAATAATATTACAAATAAATTCAAAATAATTTAACCACGCATTCTTTAAAAATACTCTTTCAAAAATTATAATTTCAAATAAGGAGGGTTAAGCTTTGAAAAACTAATTTTGTTTCAAATTTATTTTCAATCAAATATTCTCTCAATAAAATGAGAGATTAGGCATTAGGGTTAAGGTTAAATAAGAGATCAATATTAATATAATTTTTTGACAATTAATTGTAATTGACAAATTGAAATATTCCACTTCGATATTTATCGAGCACGGGACAGAGTGGACATTATTTTAATATCTAGATGACAATTTGTATAATAATAAATAATTTTAGTGGTTAAATAAGATACAAATATATTTTAAGGACCAACTTAAAATTTAGCGACCATTTACGACACTAACTCGTGATTGTGTGTTTCTAAAGTATTTGTTTTGACATAATTGTTTGGCACATGTTTTTTTCTAATATAAATAAGCGAAAACAGCAGCAGCGGTTCCAAATCTTTCAATTTTTTACAAATTTTATCTTAATCTTTAATTTAATTTATACCAGCCACAGTCTCAAACTTTTCAGAAATATATAGCATAGTTAACCGTTAGTTGACAAAAAATAATAGACTTTGACCAATTCTGACAAAATAAAAAATGGCAAAATGGTAACTATACAATTTTCTCATTAAATAAAAAAAGAAAAACAAAAAAGGCCTCTCTTCAACATTGCCGGCATATTGTCGACACCACCATCCCATCTCCTTCCCCAACCCCACTCTCACCAATTTCCCTAAAACGACACAGCAACCATCTACACTTGTAAATCCTTCATTCTCTCTCTACGTAATTGCTCACCCAAATTTCATTCGGAGTCCCTTAGCTGGTTGAACCACTCGTCATCGGCTGATTTATCGACGGAGCCGTTGTTGCTCCAAAATTCCGTGTCACTCCATATAAAAACATAATTAATAAAAAAAATATGCATACTCGGATTTAAATTTGCATAAAATGCAGTAAACTTGAATATTTAAAAACCTGAGAGTGGTGGAAATGCTGAGATTGATTTGCAGTTTGATAGAGAGATTATGCTTGAAATAGTGGAGAAAATTGTGGATTTGGGTGTTTTGTTTTGGTTTGATTGTGGTGGTGGCGTTTTAGAGGAAATTGGTGAAAGTGGGGTCGGGGAAGGAGATGGAGGTGGTGGTGGTGGTGCTGGCACGGGTGCCGGCAATATACCAGCAATGTTGAAGAGAGGCATTTTTTTTTCTTTTTTTTAAAGAGAAAATTGTATAGTTACCATTTTACGCTTTTTAATTTTGTCAAAATTGGTCAAAATCTATTATTCTTGGTCAAGCAACGATCGAAGTCCATTTTGACCTCTGCTGAATATTTCTGAAATGTTTGGGACTGTAGCTGACACAAATTAAAAGTTAGGATAAAGTCTGCAAAAAATTGAAATGTTTGAGACCGCTGTTGCAATTTTCCCTATAAATAACTTTGGTAAATAACTTTTATTAACAGATTTTACGAGATTTATAAATATTATTTACTTATTTTTGTTTTGGGTATGATCAAATCACATGCGTGCTTTTATTAGCTAATTCTTGGGTTATTCTATACATTATGGACAATCGAATCAAAATTGGATGAAGATGGAACATTTTGCAATCGTTAAAATTATCATTAAAATTTAAAAAAGACATTTCAAAA